AATATAATATACAAGTTTCACTTTTTAAATGGAATTACTGAAATCAATCTACTTTTTCATGATATTCTAATTTTATGACCAGCACCTGTATATGGGAAACAGAATAAAGACTGGGGTAATCAGCTGACAGGGAGCAGGTGTGGAGAGAAGCAACTAGGAGACTGGCACAAGGGGGTAACAGAGAGCAATACAAAAAAACACAAAATGGCTTAGATATAACTAGAAAACAACTAGAATGATACAAAATAGAAAAGAAACCAACGACCAAGAAAACACAAAATCAGTTTAACTCAAAAATAAGTCCACAAAGGGCAGAACCATAACACTGAGTGGTCTGGGAGGTTGATACACTGACAACAAATCTGTTATGTATTGAGGTGCTGATCTATTCAATGATTTCAGAACTGGGCTGATGTGTTCTACTTTCTTAGTTCTAGTTTGAACATGCTTAGCAGCGTTTTGACATACATTTTTTTAAGGAGGTCAAGCTAAAGACCTAAATCCAACTAAAAATCTGCAACAAAATCAGAACCTCAGACACTTCTTATTCCATTTTTACCAGACTTGAGCTGTTTTGCTACAAAAGGTGGAACTTCACAGTTTCTACTCAGGGAGACTGAATACAAATACATACTGCAATTTCTAGCTCCTTACTATAAAGAATTTCAGAGAATCATAAATTCAAGAAAATAATGTGAAAGATCTTTAGGTTTATTGTAAAAAAAGACTATGATAAAACACATTAAACTTCAGGTTTTTAGTGAGTTGTACAATGATTATGTTCCAGGTAGGAAGTGCTTGTTCATCACACTGTATGAACTGAAATAATAATGTTGATTTTTATTCACACAATAACATGTTTTCCAAAGCTAAACGGAAAGACAGAAGAGAAATTACTGATTAAAATGTGGTTCGAAGGAATTTATCTCGATAAATGTTACAAAAGCCTTGTTGAAGAAATGTTAAACGTATGATAATAGGGATTTTATTTCAACAGTGACAACATCACACTGACCTAAAAAATAGTACAAAATAAGCATGGTACCTCCAAATAGCATAGGATGCTAATTTCCACCTGCATTCAGCTTGATGATAAGAACTAAATGTTTTCCATGAAAAGTATAAAAGAACCAGTGAACACTAATACAACACGCAAACACACTCAGACACATTAAAATATAGGATTTAACTGATAAAAAAACACAGTGCTGATTTGTGAGGGTAAAACAGTGCTTGGGGAAGTTGGTCCTAGGTAGACAGTTCACTCTGTGGCTGCATTGCGATGTGCTGAATAATAACCTGATAAAAAAACAAACAAAGCAAAGACAGGAAAGAGTAATGAACAGCTATGAAAACATGTCAGACCACACTATTTTTTAATATCACATTTTTGTCCTAAATACACAGTATATGATTAAACATAATTGATATAAAGGTATGTAAAACAATTTAGCCTTTTTACACTATGCATTTATTTGGTTTTAAAACTCTGCCTGTATATCAGCATTACAGCGGTTAGAAGACTGGATTGGATTAAAAGTACAAATGAATAAAATTATTTGATTAGAATTTAAATAAACTGAATCACATTGTTCTTTGATGAATAAACAACTCGCCAGCTTTTGTCAGTAAAGTCAGGGATAATTCATAGTGAGATTAAATCGCTCTTCTTGTACTTTAAATTGATCTGTAGAGAAAAAGATTCACACCAAGTGTTTTCTCCTAAGGAGCTTCCCTTCCAGATGCTTTAAACTGACTCAAGGTTAACAGGACGTCTTAATATTGGTCATGTGTAACCTTTTTTATTTAAACTCCGGTTACAGCCATATTTAAATACTACAAGACATAAAAAAGAGGTAAAATATTTGAGAAAAAATTTCAATGTTTAAATTTTGCAATAATTTCCATTCAACCAAGAAGTTTGTTTCTGTTACAATACAATACGAATCAGCCTTCTTCCAAAACATATAAAATGTTATTAATATCTTTCTTAAAAATGAACTGAAAAATTATGTGTTGGCAGCAATGGGTCAATTTTTAGAATTGCTAGCCTGCTTTTTTCTGTGCATGTTTTCCTGTGTACTTTGGTGGTTTAACTCCCAGTATAGTTTTAATTTTAATTAATTTAATTGAACTTTATTGATCTCACATTGGAGAAATTTACTTCTACATTCAACCCATACTCTTGGAGAGCAGTGGGCTGCCATTGCTGGGCGTCCAGGGAGCAATCGGGGGTTAAGGGTCTTGCTCAGAGAGCCAGAGTGGCAGTCTGTGGTAGTGGGGTTCGAACCCAGAACTTCAGGATTCCAAGCTGTATGCCCTAACCTCTGGGCTGCCACTCCCCTCTAAGTTTATATAGGAGGGAGTATAAAACCCTCATCTTCAGATCCATCCACAGCTCTTTCCAGAATTCTCCCATTGTGGGACAATAAAGAAATTTCCTATTCTATCAAATTTGGGCTCTGGCTGTGCTTCTCCAAAATATTAGTTTCTGTTGAGTGACCATTCTGGCTAATATATCGAAAGTAAGAGGTCAATTGTAACTTTTCATTTCGCTAAACGACATGAGACTGAAAAATATATTACCTGATCATGCGTAGATTTTAAAGCAGCACGTGCAATGACTGCGAAGAAGACGAGAACTCCAAATACAAACAGAGAGGATCCAAACAACATGCCTACCACAATAGAAAGCTGTGCCTGAAATAAAGAGTCCGTTAGACACGCATTACTATGTTAGTATTTTATCCACACAGAAAAGGATTATAGCAAAAACTTTGAAGGAGAATAGTCAGCAGGAAGCTCACCTCAAGATAAGGTCCTTTATTATAATAACTGTAAGGGTATGTGCTATCAATGAGGAAATATATCCTGTATCCAAAGGAGAGCACAATTCCCAACATAGAGACCACACTCATGGCCAGGCATATGGTCACCTGTAGAGCCAGATTATAAATCATACTGATTTTAACTTAAAATAACTTTGTGACCAGTTATAAATGGAGTTAAATACTGGGGTGCAGGTTAATAAACGTACCGTCTTCTTGGATGGATGTAATTCAGTGTAGATTGACAGGACTCCACATACAAGAAACTTAAAAAAAACAATCATAGGAATTAATCAGAGGATCCATTTCTGTTGTGTTCAAGAGGCACATATCAAAAGTGCAGAGTACTACAGGTGAGTTGCATTGTTTTGTAAGCTAGCTGATGTAATGCCAGTTGTGCACAAATATTCCTAAAGGATAGTGAGTTTTTTTTCTTCTTTGGTTTGATTCATGAATAAGACATAAATTCTTGAATCACACAAGTGAACTAGACTCTTTGGAATATTGTAACAATCTGTGAGCCATTTGTCATTTAATTTGTTTATTTTTTAAGTATGAGAAATAGATTAAGTTATTTTAGATGAATTGACAGCCTCAACCAGGTGCTTAAAAAAAAAAAAAAAAACTCTAAATCATGTCACAGACTCTGCATCACACTGATAACACCAAACCAAAAATACTTAATATATTAATGCTCTGAAATACCATATCAATGCGTTTTTTTGCACTTTTTTCTCCCACATTGTTTACATTTGATAACTCCTGCACTTTACAGAAAGGAAATGTTAATTTACCGTCTGAAAAGCTGTACTATATGAAATTTCAATAAAAGTTATCTAAGTGTTTTAGCAAATCAGCTAGGAGACTATTTGAGTCATAAATTTACTGTAACTGGGTCAACTTATCTGAAACTGGGTCACCGAAGCAAATTCCATCCCAGGAATTGCATCTCAGCACTTCCTACTTGAATTTGATAGCCATAAACAAATAATGCTGGACCTATGTGCATAACATTTTCTTTGTAGTTAAATATCCTTATGACACAGGGAGGTAAGTGTTCACAAAAATGCTGAGAGCTCACAAAAAAACTTTGGCAAAGAGGTTGTTTTTTGAAAAGTTTGTGTGTGTGTTATCGGTCTGCTTAAAGGATGACTTGAAAGGCTATGAACAGATCTGAATTAACAGAGGCCCGCCTCATGTCTAGGTACAAGTCATCCAAATTTAGTAATGATCCAGATGATGTGCAAGTTTTGGCTATAAGTTTAAGTCACAATAAGGGGGATAATTTGCTGCTTGGCAGAGGTCTGCGTCCTCAGAGTGCTTTTATAGTTTTGGTTTGTTTTATATATATATATATATATATATATATATATATATATATATATTTTTTTTTTTAGGATTTAAAGAAAAGATGCTTACCATTGTTCCTTGCCAGAAAGGAATATATAAGCTGAATGAGGTTTGTAGATCAGCACCAGCCATCACAAATCCCATCACAACCTCAGCACACCCAAACATCAGCACCACAATCTAAAAAATATACAAACATATGTTTTTACTGTGTGCACTCATATAACAGGTCCAAGCCATCCTGTTTCTTACCCCAAAACTTCTGGGCTGATTTTGGGTAAAGCGGTGCAGAGGTTTGCTGTGTTTCATCATCGCATTCTGATTCTCGCTGGTCTGTACAACTCCTGGCACAGTTTCCTCCATTGCAAAGCTGTTACACAGCAGTCTGAGGCTGTGGGAGGAAGAGAACAGGAGCTTGTTGTGCCAGTAACGTCTTTGACAGCAAGGAAGTAGTATAAAAGGCATGGGACAGACTTGTAGTTAGAGAGTGAAATCTGACACTAATCTTTCACAAAACGGTACAGAACAGTCAAAAGGAACACAATAATAAGAAACAAACTCACCGAGCTTTCTATCTAAGAGGAATTGCATAAGAAAACAGGAAGTGGGTGTTGCTGGTCCCGAGGAGGAATGATGACATTTGAGATCTTCTACTTTTTTTTCAGCAAGGGGAGGTCCTAAATAAACAAGGCTGTTACTCGAAGCCCCACAGAAAAAAAAGTACAAAGTAAAGAAGGTAAAACCTACTTAAAAAAACAGCATTAATTGTTGAAATGCATAACAAACAGCACTTATTGAGGCAATCCACTTTTTAAACATGGAGTTTAATAAAACAAATGAGCTGTCTCCATATTATGCAGACATCCCAAGTCTCCTGGACGTTCCGGGAGTCTCCCTGATATAGATAGTTAAAAGTAAATCCATGTCTAGAGAAGGGGAGGAACAGTGGCGGATCTAGACCAAATGTACCAGGGGGCCAGGAGGGGGCCAGCTTGTTTTCATGGGGGCACAGAAAAGCATGAAATAAAAAACAGGGCAATAGATTCAAATATATTAAGAGAGCTGCATTAAGCGAAATTTCTTTTCAATTAGGTTCAATAAAAATTCTATTTCTTATGAGGTCAATATACATTTATAACGTACATTTATTAAGTTAAAACTACCGTTTTCTATAAAATTTGATTCAGAACTCTAGAAAAACTGTTAAATTTGTCTGTAAAAATTAGAGCATTTTTTATGTGTTGTGGAAAAAAATAAAAAAAATTAGCAGATAAAACTGGGATCCTATCTCAATACCACTGAAGCTATCACCTTATTGTTTTTGAATAATTAGTAAAACAGAATTTGTAAAGAAAAAGAATGAAATAGATCCAAAGGACCTATCAGTAACCATGTCTGTTCCAGCGCATATCATAATTAGAATTTCTTTTTAGTATTATGTCTTCAGTACAGGGGCCAGGACATGACCTACAGGGGGCACTGGCCCCCGTTGGCCCCTGTCTAGAACCGCCCATGGTGAGGAATGATGACACCGTGGCGAGGTGCACTGTATGCTGAAGTCCCATGAAAAACAGAAAGCACAGCCGATGTTCAAGGCTACAAGATCGAAAGTATTGAAAATTGAAAATGAATTATGCAAGTCCACAATTAAGCCAGGTCCAATTCAATTTAAAGCGACACATCGAGTTAAAGCATCTTAGCTATCTTAGGAAATATCTGCTACTGAATGAGGAACCTAAGAAATTTTTTTACACAGATCTTTTCAGGAGAATCTGAATGTATCTGTATATGTTTCTAAAGATCTGTGTAATTTGACTGAATTAAGTATTTTACATTTTTTTCTATATATTATGATCACACATTTAAAGGCTAAAATATGAGGTTATATTGTGTAGGATTGTGGTTTACCAAATGAACTTGAGCTAGTTAATTTATAGGTTTGAGAACTTAGTTCATTTTTGCAAAAGTGAAATATGAATGTGAGCTAGTTCATTTTCATCTGCGTCAACGGAACTTTGAGCAAATTCTTTTTAACTATGAACTGGGACAACATTGCCAGGGACTAGGCAACACTTCGCCCAATGAACGCTGGAGATAAGCACCAACACCACCACAAACAATCATGAAAACAAACGTAGACGTTTGAATTAGTTCCTGAATACATTTCAAGGATGGGGGATAACATCTACTGGAAAAATATATACATAAATAAATTCAGGTTAGCAAAAAATAAAGGAATAACAGGATCATTAACAAATAAATGTGAGCCCATTAAATAATATTTACATGCACATGACAGTAGGAATGCATTTTGTTATCTGTATTAGAGAATATTAGCTTTAAAATTAAATATCTGACATCCATTCCACAAATATTACACACTGATATAAAAGACACTCTTTGGTGACAAACAAGCCAGGGTTATGCCTGAAGCTCTCTCAGGGTCACATGCAGCCAACTGATGTGTGTCTGCTGCAAGAGAAAGCTGAAATATAAATGTGGGTGGATTGTCTTTTTTTAAAAAAATATAGCCAAATTGCTATGTGCAATATCTCCACAGGACAGGAGGGAAAGAGCTACATCATTGTGTAAGTAAAACTAGGGAAACCCCGCCAAAAGACAAACAGTATCAGGGCTTCACCAGGTTTAGTTGTAAAATATCAGCATATTGGCTAAAATTCTGACTTAATGGATCCCTAATCCACTGTATATATACTTCTACTTTACAGTATACATACTTCTTTGATGTTTTTGCATAATTTGTACATAAATTGACTCCTGTTTACAATACCCCAATATCCAGTGGGGTTTAGATGAGGCTAGTGTTTAGACTTAAGAGAGCTGACATAACTGTCCCTGCACCACTTAGTGGAACTTTGGGCTAATTAGTGGGACTTCCTGGAAAATAAAAGTAGCATCTGTATAAAGCTTTTAACATGATGGGAGCATTGAGTGCTCTTGAGTTTCCAGGGAGATGCTGTACCAGTGACAGAGCTAAAGTTTCTTTGTTGGGCTGGAGACGAGGCTATCTTAAGGGGGGTCAAAGATTATAAGAATTAATTTTTTAGCAATTGGAGTTTAACAAAAAATATGTTCAAGTTGGCACAAAGGGGATATGATTTGTGATTAATTTGCCTTTAATAAACAATGTAACAAAAATGGAAAACACAAGTTAGCTAATGTCAGTGTGTGGATGTGTTTGTTAACGGGTGATTGAATATCTAGAAAAAAAGAGAAGCAAAACAAAACAATGCATATAAAATGTTCCCTTGCTTCATTCTCCCAACAGCGGTCACTATTCCTGAATTGTATTTTGAAAAGTAGAATTACTTTTATCCCCAAAATTTAAATTTTATGAATATTTCCTTCTTCCAGTTATCATCTCTGCTCTATAAATGCCTTCCTCTAGTTTGGTTGATTGATGGCTACCCTTTAATTTCAAAGCACCAAAGGCTGGAAATCAACTTGTTGCATTTATGACTATGACCACATACACATGCTAAATAATATTTTAACAAATGTAAATAGTATCACGATTATCCCCTGCTTGTAAATATAATTCACATTGACTAAAACTGAAAGCAGTGGATTATGTTTTTGCAGTTTATTATCACCATATTACCCTCGCTGTCTCAGCTACTGAACACTGGACAACTGTCAAGTCAGCACTTTTAATGAAGGTGAAGATGATGAAATTGCCATCTCATAAACATTTCAATATTAAAAGGTATTCGCTTATATAATATTCTTAGAAATTGAATTTGGGATTTCCAAATGTAAGTCACAATCATTTAAATGAACTGAAATAAATGATTGAAACACAATAAATCAAAATATACATATTTTTTTTAAATAATGCAATTTATTACACATACATGTTACACAAGCCAGACAAAGGTGTTCTAAAATTACAGAGAATAGAAACACTGCATTGACACAAATTCATTGCAGTAATATACAGTCTTATATACTATCTACCAGAGATGTAAAAATGATTTCCTCTTCATAGTTGCTCTTCAAAGTGGGCTGTGCTTAATGCAATGATGCATTGTTCTTAAAGATGATGTTAAAAATGTACATTAAAAAATCCAGTGCACCATTTTGTCAGCATTATAGAGATAGCACAATGTAAAGCAGGACATAATGTAAGAAAAGCTGATTGTGTCCTTTTCTTTATTTTATACTAGAAGTCCTTGTGTTAATTCAGGGGGGAGTTTTCCACCTACAACACAAAACAGTACCTTTAAGTTGAAATTCCTTAAGTCAGCACATGTTACAAAGATCTGTTGCTAAAATGTGGATCAACCTGCTTTGGGCATCAAACAGACTCCATATATATTAAATAAATCTACACACAAACACACTTGGACAAAACTGTTGATACTCGTTGTATTATGAAACAAAAACCCGGGATGTCACAGGAATAACTGAATTTCTGTGACCTGAATCTGATGAAAGCAATAATAATGCTCACTGTAGTTTGCCATTGGATGACAAGTATTTATTTTAGAGTTGTTTGTGCACATGTCTTACCATCATTTTTGTTCAGACCTGTTCCATTTTTTTCAAATCATATTCTTGAAGCATGAATGAAAAACAATGTTTGACTTTAATTTGTTGATTTTCAAAGAATTTATTTTTTACTTTGTCAGATTCTAATTATTTCTGTGACCATCCTGGCTTATTCTTTCATTAAAGGAAGAAAACCAAAAACTTTGTCCATGTATATATATATATATATATATATATATATATATATATATATA